AGCGCGCGCGGATCCTACCGCGAAGCTCGAGCATCTCAATCGATATCTCCGATATTAATTTTACGATTGTGGTGGCTACCTCCAGACCCGCCAGCAGAGGGCTCCTCTTCCCGCTAGTAACCGATCCGTTCCGATCCCTATATATACACCGAGACTTCGTCCTACCCTTACGTCTAAGGCAAGGGCCCGCTAGGATAGCCTTACCGATGAGTCCTCTAGCGGGCCCCGGACGAAACGTCTCCCCACTCCCTTTCCACTTCCACGACATCCGAACAGCCGCCAAACGATCGCGAAAAGTAATTCTCGATCCAATGTTTTACGCCGAGACGTTAGATTCTTGGAAAACCGTGTTCGCGACGATACGAAATGTCGCGGGTAATACGATACGATATTCTTGGATAAATGAAAAATCATTTCGTCGTAACGTCCCTATTTTCTGCCGTTTCGTTCGACGACTCGGACGCAACTCGTCGCGGATCGAAATTATCGAGGTTGAACAACGACGACGGATAACTCCGGCTAAAATTTCGGGCACAAAACCGGTTATCGGGGCGTAATGGTTTCAGCGCGACAGTGGCTCCCGAAGTAAAAAATAGGCAGAGGAGTTTAATGGAAGATCGGAGCTTCTCGGCGAATTATTAATCGAGCAACAATGGACGCTCGTAATATCCGCAGTGGCGAACATGTCCGTCCCGTGTCAGGTTATTGTAAACGGTGCTTTACACCGGTCTCGAGTCAAAATCAATAAACTGATTATTGGCCGGGCTGAACGGAGATTATGTTGCTTCGAATCGACGCCCCGACACGGGCTTCGCGCCGATTGAATTTCGCGGGGACTTTCTAGACGGCCGGACGTCCGTCCCAGTTCCTTTTTCCACGTCCGACACCGTAAAATCACGCTGAATGCGATCCTTGGCGGACACCGCGCGAGAGGAATCGATCTTTTGTCGCCGGACCGGTCGCCCGGCGAAGTTTCCAGGCATTATGCGACCGCGTTGTTCGCTCTTACACGCCGGCAAACAATGCTCGGCCGCCGGCGCGGCGCTGCGCGACGCGCCGAGGGGAAGCGAGCGAGAGAAAAAATATATAATATAACAACGGAGCATTTCTCGCGACGAGGCTCTTTTTAACGCCGTCTATTTATTTAACGGTTAAACGAGTGACTGGTATAAATAGGACATTATTTCCTTCCACGCCTCGCCTCGCCTCGCACAAACACCCGTGAATGGGGATCGCCGAGACCGCGAGAACAACTGTATATACGCGTTGTTTCAGATGGAATTAAGTTGAAACGAAGTCGCTGGTCGCTTCTATGTACACTTTAATAATATTATATATATCGTTATATATATAATAATATTAATATTATATAATAATATAATATTATAATATAATATTATATAATAATATTATAGATATCGTTATTCCGCGATATTAACACTTTATCGACCGCTAGCCTATTTATCGGCTTTTCGATTGCCAATGTTTATCGATCGCTAGCCTATCAATCGGCCTTTCGATTGCCAATGCTTATCGACCGATAGCCTATTAATCGACTTTTAGCTATCGACGGTTTTCGCTTCTTTACCGTTTTGTTAGTAGCTGACCTCCTGTATGCTGACCTCCCCATATCCTTATGAATTATAATTATAATAATTATTATTATTTATTATTATTTTTAAAGGAATAAGCACAACACAATGAATAGCGAAAATTGAGCCGGTACTGGGAGCAAATGCGCGCGCGACTAAGCCAGTCCTTACTGAGTGGCAGCCTCAACCACGACCGGACGATAAAGTGTTAA